CTGGTGTTGCTCCAGCAGCAGGCCTGGCACCTAGCGGTGCTTCCAGGATGTAATTCTTCTGTGCAGCAATGAGGATAATCCTCAAGTTACGAACTCAGTCCGTGTAATTGCTACCATCATCTTTCAACTTTGCTTTCTCAAGGAACGCATTAAAATTCAACGGAACAACAACATGGGCCATCTATCTACAATCAAACATAAACAAGCAAGATACTATCAGGTACTAAGTTCATGATAAATTTAGGTTCAATTAATCATATTACTAAAGAACTCCCACTTAGATAGACATCCCTCTAATCTTCTAAGTGATTACGTGATCCAAATCAACTAAACCATGTCCGATCATCACGTGAGATGGAGTAGTTTCATTGGTGAACATCACTATGTTGATCATATCTACTATATGATTCACGCTCGACCTTTTGATCTCCGTGTTCCGAGGCCATATCTGTATATGCTTGGCTCGTCAAGTATAACCTGAGTATTCCGCGTGTGCAGCACCCGTTGTATTTGAACGTAGAGCCTATCACACCTGATCATCACGTGGTGTCTCAGCATGAAGAACTTTTGCAACGGTGCGAACACTTCTTGATAATTAATGAGAGATCATCTTAAAATGCTACCATCAAACAAAACAATATAAGATGCATAAAAGATAAACATCACATGCAATCAATATAAGTGATATGATATGGCCATCATCATCTTGTGCTTGTGATCTCCATCTTCGAAGCAACTTCATGATCACAATCGTCACCGGCGTGACACCTTGATCATCATCGTAGCATCGTTGTCGTCTCGCCAATCTTATGCTTCCACGACTATCGCTACCGCTTAGTGATAAAGTAAAGTATTACAGCGCAATTGCATTGCATACAATAAAGCGACAATCATATGGCTCCTGCCAGTTGCCGATAACTTGGTAAAAAAACATGATCATCGCATACAATAAAATTTAGCATCATGTCTTGACCATATCACATCACAACATGCCCTACAAAAACAAGTTAGACGTCCTCTACTTTGTTGTTGCAAGTTTTATGTGGCTGCTACGGGTTTAAGTAAGAACCAATCTTACCTACGCATCAAAACCACAACGATAGTTTGTCAAGTTGGTGCTGTTTTAACCTTCGCAAGGACCGGGCGTAGCCACACTCGGTTCAACTAAAGTTGGAGAAACTGTCACCCGCTAGCCACCTTTGTGCAAAGCACGTCGGGAGAACCGGTCTCGCGTAAGCGTACGCGTAATGTCGGTCCGGGCCGCTTCATCCAACAATACCGCCAAACCAAAGGGGGGCGCCGCCAAACCAAAGGAGGGGGAAAGGAAGTGGGGAGGGAGAAGGAAAGGGGGGCGCCGCCCCCCTCTCCTAGTCCAATTTGGACCAAGGGGGGAGGAGGCACGCGGCCCACCCTGGCTGCCCTTCTCTCTCTCCACTAAGGCCCATATGGCCCATTACTTCTCCCGGGGGGGGGGGGGGTTCCGGTAACCCTCCGGTACTCCAGTTTTCTCTGAAATCACCCGGAACACTTCCGGTGTCCGAATATAGCCGTCCAATATATCAATCTTTATGTCTCGACCATTTCGAGACTCCTCATTATGTCCGTGATCACATCAGGGACTCCGAACTAACTTCGGTACATCAAAACCCATAAACTCATAATATAACTGTCATCGAAACCTTAAGCGTGCGGACCCTACGGGTTCGAGAATAATGTAGACATGACCGAGACATGTCTCCGGTCAATAACCAATAGCGGAACCTGGATGCTCATATTGGCTCCCACATATTCTACGAAGATCTTTATCGGTCAGACCGCATAACAACATACGTTGTTCCCTTTGTCATCGGTATGTTACTTGCCCGAGATTCGATCGTTGGTATCTCAATACCTAGTTCAATCTCGTTACCGGCAAGTCTCTTTACTCGTTTCGTAATACATCATCTCGCAACCAACTCATTAGTTGCAATGCTTGCAAGGCTTATGTGATGTGCATTACCGAGAGGGCCCAGAGATACCTCTCCGACAATCGGAGTGACAAATCCTAATATCAAAATACGCCAACCCAACATTTACCTTTGGAGACACCTGTAGATCTCCTTTATAATCACCCAGTTACGTTGTGATGTTTGGTAGCACACAAAGTGTTCCTCCGGCAAACGGGAGTTGCATAATCTCATAGTCATAGGAACATGTATAAGTCATGAAGAAAGCAATAGCAACATACTAAACGATCGGGTGGTAAGCTAATGGAATGGGTCATGTCAATCACATCATTCTCCTAATAATGTGATCCCGTTAATCAAATGACAACACATGTCTATGGTTAGGAAACATAACCATCTTTGATTAACGAGCTAGTCAAGTAGAGGCATACTAGTGACGTTTAGTTTGTCTATGTAATCACACAAGTATTATGTTTCCGGATAATACAATTTTAGCATGAATAATAAACATTTATCATGATATAAGGAAATAATATAATAACATTATTATTGCCTCTAGGGCATATTTACTTCATGGCGCCGCCGGATCATCTCCTCGCGCAGGTAGTCGTCGCGCGACCACTGCATGGCGTCCTCGTCAGAGAAGCCGCGCCGGGCTATCTCCTCGTACTCCGGGGGGAGGCTGGGCTCCACCTTGGGCTCGACGAGGGCGCCGGAGCTGCGGGTACGCGCGCTGACAGGCGTGTCCTGGGGCTTCGGCTTGACGGGGCGAAGGTGGAGGCAGGGAGAGCCGCCGGAGCTGCGGGTACGCGCACTGACAGGCGTGTCCTGGGGCTCCGGCTTGACGGGGTGGAGGTGGAGGCAAGGAGAGCCGCCGGACGAGGAGGAGGACGCCCCGGTCTCCATGCGCCTCGGCGTCCAGGAGCTTCCCCGACGGTGTGAGAAGGACGGGGGAGCGGGGTACTCGAGGCGCGGCGTGTTGCCGCCCTCGATGTACTCGAGGACGGCCTCCAACGTGCGGCCGGGCACGCCCCACCACCAGCGCCGGCCATCGGAGTTGAGCCTGCCGGAGGGCACGACGCCGTTGGTGGCCTCGAGCTGCTCGGCGTGACGGCGGCGGAAGTAGGGCTCCCAGAGCGGGCTGTCGGGGACGTACCGTGGCCCCTCCCTTGCCGCCCGCGACAGGGACGCGCGGATGCGTGCGATCTCCGCATGCCGCGTCGCCCCGGTGAGTGGTGGTGGCACTGGCACGCCGCCGGCGCTGATCCTTCAAGCCCCGGGCACCAACATGTCCGGCGGGACCGGGTACTCGGCCTCGAAAAGGAGGCGAGCCTCGTCCTCGTGCAGATGATGGCGCCCGAATCCGTTCGCCGCCGCGCCGTCGCCTGGGAAACGCTCGGCCATGCTTTCTCAACTGGTGACGGCGAGAGGAGGAAAGGGGGAGAAATGAGCGCGTCGTCGGGTGGATGATCGGGGTGAGTCTCTCCGGCGCACTTGCAGTCGGCTTTTATAGGCGGAGACGCCGCGTGGTAGGCTTGGCCGGCGCGTTAAGCGTGGCGTGATTGCGTGGCGGCCGAGGGACGCGCCGCCCAGCCTTCACTGCGCCGCCCGTGAGGCATCAATGGAGGCTGACCGGCGCGGCAGCGCGCGGCAGCTTTGGCATTGATTCGCCACGGGAAACGAGGCGATGATGACGACGAAGGGGCGAGAAGAGGGTAGAGTCGCTGACGCGACGGGCCCGCGGCTCTTCGCGCCAAAAACGATTCGTCCGACGCCCCCGAGCGACCCCCAGCGTGCTGGGTTCGGGTTGGGTCCGCCGGCGCCAATTTCGGCCCGAACCGGCGAAAACTGAGCTCTTGGGGGCGCGACTGGGCCGATTTTTTGGCGCCGGCGGACGAAAAGACGCCTGGGGGGCCTTCTTGGGGGCGCGGCTGGAGATGCCCTAAGGGTTCTGAAGTTGGAAATTGCCCTTGAAAGATTACAGCTAAAACCACGCAAGAGGGGGGGAAACTATGGTGGCAAGTACTACTTGTTTCGATTTATCTGTTGCTATTTCTCTTGTCCTGTCTTTGCATAAAATTGTTGCTATTTGTCTTGCCCATTCCTTGCATAAACTTGCTTCTATGTGCTGTCCATTATTTGTATAAATTTTTGATATCTTGATGGACTGAACTCTCTTGTCGAAAATTATAAAACTTGTACCAGAATAAAGTTCTACAGAAAAATTTCCAGGTTTGCATCCAATGTTACATGTCTTCTTTTGTGGTAATTTCTTGTCTCTTGGTCACAGTCAATCTTCTTTTTACAAGATGAACCTTATGTCCTTCAAAATTACTGTTACAATGATTAACCAAGCATGAAGAACAAAATCAAATTTCTTGGTTCTCTTTGTCTGTGTAAACTTTCAATCAGATACCCAAGAAAGGCTCTACTGTTCTCAGTATTCTGGCGTCTTGGCAGAGAGGATCAAACATGGGTTAACCTGTTTCAGACTTCTACTGTTATGATAGCACAGGCACCTTACATGGTGATTAAAACTAGGAAAGCCGATTGATTAAATCACGTGAGAAGGCTGTCCATTTCAATGCAAACTATGACACCTAAGAAGAGATGAACAAATGTTTGAATGACTGCTGAAGCAACTGAAAGGGAACTTGGGACTTCATAGAGTGCATCTTATTCCATATATTTAGATGTGCTTTGCTTTGGTACAGTTTCTAAGGCACTATCTGATAGATACACACAAGTGAATGAAAAATAGGAGGCCAAAGAGTGATGGCACTTGTATTATTTGATCAAGCTTAGTACTCGTAGTTAGTAGTGTACATATTTCCTTCATACTGTATAATCTTAATCCTTGTAAAATGGAAAGGAGGCTCTCTTTTTGTTGTTGCACGCATCCCTGCATTACTAATTCAAACATGTAACAAAAGAAACCGATACTGTCCATAAAATTATTGCTGACATTCCCATAACAGAATGAGAATTATTGCAATGATGACATTCTGCAAAAGGGGAAAAAAGAAGAGAGAACATTCTTGAGAAGAGATTGTGTCATCTCCTGACGGTGTAGAAAGGAACCCTGTCTACCTTCGACGGCGGTGATGATATGCCATAATTCCTTTCCCCCGTAGGCACATCGTAGAACTGTGCCAAGTACTCCAAGGCTTCGTGGTTCCCACTGCAAATCTTCCACAGCGATGCCACTTCCCCAGGAGCAACTGTGCCCCAGTCCTCGCAGTCATTCAGAAACTCCAGCAGTTTGGAGTAGTAAGAGTCATAATTCATCAGCAATAACGGGACCGGTAGAGCCGATCCGATCCTCTCCAGCTGAATCAGCGCCATGATCTCAAAAAGCTCATCCAGCGTCCCAATGCCGCCGGGCAATGCGACGATGGCGGTTTTGTCCGCGGAGCTGTTGCGCACTACAGCGTCCACTAAGCCATGCTTCCTTGCCGAGAAGAACCTGCAGGTGAGGTAGGTCTCCGAGGGCAGGTAAGGGTGGAAGTTCGAGGCTGTCCATTCACCGGCCTCCTTGCCGATCCTGAAGCCGCCGACCGGCTTGCCCGCCTCGAGGGCGCCCTGGGTGGCAGCATCCATGAGGCCGGGGCCGGCGCCCGTCCATGTGGTGCAGTCCAGCAGCTTGGCTATCTCCGCCGCGAGCTGGGCGGTCTGGCGGTAGTGGGGGTGCGCGGCCGGCACCCTGGAGGAGCCGAGGTAGACGGCGCCACGGCCGAGGCGGCGGACGAGCTCGTAGCACCTCGCAATCTCCTCCCTCACCTGCGATACAGATCCGCCGCGTGAGGGATGGGGCTCGCCGCCGTCACGGACAAATCGTAACGGGAAGGGGGAGGAAGAACAATCACCTCGTGGGGGCTGCCCCTCTCGGGCTCCATCGCCTCTCCTCCTCCCACTCCGGCCTGCTGCTGGTGAGGATTTGCGGCGGCGACGACGCTCCGCGCCCGGACTGCTCTGCTGCGGACGAGGCGCGAGGTCGGCCATGGCAGATGGCGAAACGGGAGAGGGGTGTGAGGACCGCCGCGGCCGCCGCTGGGTCTGAGCCAAGGCCTCGCGAGCCCTAGGCGGGACCCGAACTCGGCCCTCGATCCTACCACCGAGCTCGCCGTTGCCGCTTCCATGGATTCCCCAGAACAGCAGCGCGGTGCGCGTTCTGTGTTTTCTTTTCTTTTTCCTTTAGAAAACTGCGCGTCTCTGCTAGGCATCGTTGTTCCCAATCCCACCACACGGAAAGGAGGCCGCTGGTATGCATCGCCTGCTGCGAGTAACAACACCACATCGCCCGCGGTGCTTCGTTATTAGACCGGCCCGTTTACACCTCTTGTCTATGCGTTTGTTCCCTGTTTTTTTTAACCGATATATCATCATTTATAAAAAAATTGGTGAAAAACTAGGCTAGCATCTTTTTTTTTAGAGAAAAGAGAGCTTTATATATTACTTGTATCGGGAGTACAATCTTTCAAGATTACATCAGTTATACTACATGGCACACTGCTCATCATAAAAAAACTGCCATTAGATCTAGCGTAAGCAGCAAGTTTATGTGCAGCCACGTTGCTCTCTCTTTCAATCTTTGTCACTCTCCAGGATGGGGAATTCTTCAACAATTCCAAAGAATCGTTATAAGTAGTCCACCATCTTGGCCTGATCACAGACTTTGCATTGAGGGCCTCCACAACAGTCGCACAGTCTGTCTCGAATATCGTCGGACCAACATATATTTTTTCCAAAGTTTGCATGCCTAAAAGCATCGCCTGCCCTTCAGCCTCTTCGTCATCACTGCACTTAGGGAGGGTCCAGCCCGCACTAAACAAGACCTCGTCGTCGCTGTTTCTTGCAATGACCCCAGCCGCTGCCAAACTCGAAGTAGCAATGAAAGATGCATCAAAATTTACCTTCATAACGCCAACAGGGGCCCTGGTCCAATTGGAAGCATGGGCACTAACTTCAGATTTCGCTCTAGGAATTGCAGCCACAGGAGTTTTGCCCTTCAAGTCATGGGCAGAATTAATGTCTCCGTTAAGGCAGTACCAATAATTAGACAAGAAGATGACAGATTCGGCAACGGAAGCAGTACCTTTATGATGCATTATATCATCACGTAAGTACCAGGCTCTCCATAACAACAACAAGATTCTCTCTTTGGAGGTGTTATCACATTGGCTAAGTAACATCAGCAACCAATCGGGTCCTGAACGATCGAAGCATTCTTCTTTTGGCAAAGGCCAAACTTTCCTCATAGCTTCTCTGATAGCTCTAGCTTTAGTACAGCGAACAGTAGCATGGTATGCATCCTCAGGCTCCCTACCACAAATATTGCAAATACTATGGTGTTCCAAAGTCTGCTTCAATTTGTTTTCTTTTGTTGGTAAGGAATCAGTAGCAGTTCTCCAAGCAAAAATTCTGATCTTGTGGGGGATGTGTGCTTTCCATATGAGGTTCCAAAGAGACACTCTTCCATTGCCATGGCTATGTGATGATTCTTCCCAGCCTGTAGAATTTTTCAGGTTCATCCCCAAATTGTACGCACTTCTCACCGTAAAATTACCATCCTTTTCATGATTCCACGCTAGCACATCATCAACAGGAATTGATGGTATCCTAATTTTGCAAATCTCTAGAGCATCAAACTCATGGAACAAACTATGAATCAAAGGCCTATTCCACTCATTTGTGTTTGGAATAATCAATTGGTTGACCCAACGAATTCTGCTCCTATTCTTAAGGGACATGATCGACATCCCTTCTTGGCGAGGGATCCAATTATGTCTATGAATCTGGATGCTTTTTCCATTTCCCACTCTCCATATCATGCCCTTATTTAATAACTCAAGCCCATGTTCAATCCCTCGCCAAACAGGAGATGCATCCGAGGGGAAGACCATATCCATGATATTACCTTTTGGATAATACTTTGACTTCAAAACTCTTACACACATACTGTCCGGCCTTTGAACAAGTCTCCATGCTTGCTTCGCCAACAAAGCTTGGTTGAAAATTCTCATGTCACGGAACCCCATTCCGCCTTGCGATTTAGTACGAGTCATTCTATCCCATGACATCCAATGTGCTTTCCACTTATTTTGCTCATCGCCCCACCAAAAATCTCTAATGAGTTTTTCATACTGATCATAGAAACGAGCCCCCATCTTGAAAATGCTCATAGTGTAAGTGAGAATAGCCTGAGCCACTGATTTTACGAGGTTGTGTTTCGCACCATGAGACATGAACCTCTCAGCCTAGTTTGTAAGCCTTTTAGTGAAACGAGCTGAAATGGGTTGAAAGTGTTTACCTTTCATGCGGCCTTCTGGGGTTGGCAGGCCCAAATATTTCTTCTCAAAAGTAGAAGTTGTAATATCCAAGGTACTAGAAATAGCCTGCCTCACCAGTTCTGGACACACCTGACTAAACAAAATAGAGCATTTTCCGGGGCTAAGAAGTTGACCAGTACCTTGCTGGAATAAAGATAGAGCATCTTTCACACTTCGAGCTTGAGCTTCCGATGCCTTGAAGAAGAGCAAACTATCGTCTGCGAACAACAAATGCAAGATCCCTGGGCTTCCCCTGGCTACTTTAATTGGGGTAATGTGTCCAACTTCTCACTGCTTGTCCAGGGCCATGGAGAGACCCTCAGCCACAAAGAGGAACAAGTAGGGGCTTAGCGGGTCACCCTGCCTCAAGCCCTTCGTAGGGTAAAAGAACTCCAGAATTTCCCCGTTCATCCTCACCGCATATCTCACTGAGTGAACACAAGTCATTACCCACGATATCCATTTGTGGCAGAAGCCAAACTTGGACAAGCACCTTCTAGAAACTTCCATTCGACGCGATCATAAGCCTTAGTCAGGTCTAACTTATAAGTGCAGTGAGTATTCTGGGAAATTTTGCTCTGTTGGATCTTATAGAAACACTCGAAAGCGATGCTGGCATTGTCAGTTATCATCCTTCCCGGGATAAACTCGCTTTGACTTTCAGACACAAGCTCATCGAGGAAAGGCGGCAAACGGTTGACGAGACACTTGGATATCACCTTGTAAATAACATTGCAAAGGCTTATTGGACGAAAATCTTTAAGGCACTCAGGCGAGTTACCTTTAGGTATGAGAACGATGACCGTGTCATTTATGCCCTCAGGCATGACTCCATTCACAAAGAACTCCTTTACTACAGCAACTACATCATCCCACATAAAAGACCAATTTCTCTGATAAAAATGAGCTGGAAAACCATCAACACCCGGTGCTTTTAAAGGTCCAATTTGGAATAATGCATCACTAATTTCTTTCTCAGTAAACTCATAGCATAGCTGATCATTCATCTCAGGTGTCACTTTGGCCAAAAAGAGGTTGAGCAATGCATCTGGATTTAGATTGTTATCCGCCTTGTAAAGCTCTTTGAAGAATTCAGTGGCCATACTAGCTAGTTCACTCGCACCTTCAACCCATTTACCTTCAGTATTGCGCAGTTTACTTATCTTGTTTTTCTTTTGCCGCCAAGTGGCCTTTTGCTGGAAGTATTTCGTATTCTGTTCGCCCTCTCGAAGCCATTTAACTCTAGATCATTGACACCATAGGATTTCCTCTCTGTACAGATATACATCCAGCTCTAGAGACTTCCTATGAATTAGCTCGTCTCTCTGAACCGAAGGAGCTCTGCCCCAGAAGTTGGCGAGTTGTTTCCGAAGGTACTGCACATGTATGGTAACAGACCTAAAATTTTTACTACTCCAGTATTGAAGTCCCTGATTCACATTAGCCAAATTCCGGACAATCCCCTGCAGGCCCGAACTGGGCACATTATTCTTCTTCCAAGCTTCCTCAATTTCAACAGATAGTGTTTCGTTTCTCTCCCACATGGCCTCATACCTGAATAATCTTGGGATTTTTCTCCTATCTGGTACACCTTCATAGTCCAGTAATAAGGGGAAGTGACCAGACCTCGAGGAAATAATATGCGTGAGCTGAGCCTTTTGAATCTGTCACTCCAACAAGGGGAGGCCACAACTCTATCAATTCTGGCTTTAACATTCTTCCGCCCCCTGTTTATTGTCATAAGTCCAGGGTTTTCCTTTGTATCCAATATCATGAAGATTGCAAAAGTACAACATATCCCTGAACCTAGCCATTTACCCTTCCGATCTTCGAGAGCAAGAAAAATGTTCAGCTTGCCACATGGTTTCATTAAAATCGCCAATCATCATCCAAGGTTCACTCGCATTTGGTCGGATCCGCTTGAGAAGAGACCACATGTGGTGACGGTCCTGTGCACGTGGTTCTCCATAGACAAAAGTTCCCCGCCACTTAGGGCCATTGGGGTCATCAGACACAAGCACATCAAAATAACAAGGACCATAGGACAAAATCTTAATATTTATTGAATCATCCCAGTACAAAGCAATGCCGCCTCCTTTGCCTTTACCATCATGGGTAAGACAATGCTTCAGCCCTGGTCTCCATTTTATTGCCTTTACCTTGTCCTCACATTGCCTTGTTTCAGATAAGAAGACGATCCGGGGGCGGTAGGTCTGCACGAGGCACACCAACTCTTGAACTGTCCGGGACTGCCCTAGGCCCCGGCAGTTCCAGCTGAGAATACTCATTTCTCCTGACGGGCGTCGTCAATCGCGCCCGTCAGTTGACCGATAGCCCCGGGATCGGTTGCTTCCTTGCCACCCTTCAACCCTAAGTCCTGCCCTACCACATGGTGTTTCTCTCCACTACAGAGCTTTTTCTGGTTTACATTTTGTTCTGAGATGTGGCTCTCCTCCTCTAACTGTTTTTCTACTACAGAGCTATGTTGCCTCTTCCCAAGTGCTGATTTTACAATGGAACCGGCTCTGCCATCTACATCAGAAACAAGCATGGGGGATCGACCATGTCTCTTGCGACCCATCTTGGCCACACCCAGACCCAATCTTCCCTTGCCCGGTCCAGAACCGGGGGGAGTGTTCGAGCCGATTGCAAACACCATTGACCCTTTTGGGAGGGCCATGGTGTTGTTGTCAACAGGTTGCTGGATATCCTCGTAGTTCTGCGTCTTGTTTAGTTCTCCCGTGACGTGCACCACCTCCGTGGCCGCCATGTCGACGCCCGTAGGATCAGACGCCGACGCAGGAACAACCGCCACAGCCCCCGCCTTGTGCTCATTGGTCACCTCCTCCTTGTGCTCATCGGCCTTGGATTTGATACATACAGCAGGGGACAAA